GTTCCAGAAGATCAGGTTAAGGTGGGCAGAGAGCTGAGAGAGATCGACGTCCATCCTGCGGAAGAACCTCCGCTTCCTCCTGAACTTCGACGAGAGCTGTGTCGAGTACACCGAAATCTCGGTCATCCCGACAATCAGTCTTTCTGCCGGGCTCTTCGACACGCGGGTGTCAAACCTGAGTTCATTTTGGGTGAAGAAACACTTCTTCTGCCCGATCTGTGAGGGGCGGAAACGCCCAGCACCTCATCGACCTTCCCATTTGGCTCGATCCATGCCGCTCAATGAGGTTCTTGGAATAGACTTGGTCTACTACGAGAAGAAGATCTTCCTGAACATGGTGTGTTGGGGGACGAATTTCCAAGTGGTCTCCCAAATCCCAGACAGAACCTCGGAGGCAACGCCCAAGGCTTTGATGAGCGAATGGTTCATTCACTACAGGTCCCCGCGACTTCTGGTGTGTGATCAGGGTCGGAGTTTGTGAGCTCTACCTTCTGCACCGCCATCAACGAAGCGGCGCCATCACACATCTTACGGATGCCAGAAGCCCCTGGCAGAACTCCCGAACAGAGAGAATGGGAGGAGCTTGGAAACAACGAGACTGGCCAAGATCTGCGACGAAACAAGTGTCGCAACTCCCCTTGATGGCGGTGACGGAGGCATGCCGAACGCATAACATGTACTTCGACAGGTCAGGGCACCCGGACCACGGCAAACCCCTCAAGGCTGGAGAGACAGTCTATGTTTGGAGGACCACCTCTGACTACAAGGGCTGGGTTGGGCCAGGAATTGTGGTGGCTGAGAGCGACAACCAACGCTCCTTATGGATCAGTGTTCGTGGCTACCTGATCAAAGCTTCACGGGAGCAGGTTCGTCGGGCAACTTCCGAGGAAAGCCTGGGAGTCGAGTTGATCAAAGTCCTCTCTGCGGAGCTCTTGAAAGACATCGAGAACGGCCGCCTCAAGAATTACAGGGACATCGAGAATCAAGGCGGCCCCGTACAGGACATCGACGATGCGAACATGGACGACGCTCCGCAGTCTTCTACCTCTGTCCTTCCAACAGTTCCCGAGGAGCAGAGTCAAGACGTAAGGATGGATGGAGATGAGCCGGAAGAGGACCTCATGCACTTGCTTGACCCTCCTGTTCCAGAACCAGCTCCTCTTCCTGAACCTCCGAGGCCGGATCATGCGGCAATGGAAGAACAAAGTACTCGCGCTCCAACGTCAGCTGTTCCGACCCCTCCAGCTGCCACACCTCAGAATTTTAGAAGGCCAAGCGGCATTTGAGTTGATGAAGCTTCTGGAGGAGCATGGCCCTTTGGACCGACTCGGACACCATCGACAAGACCAACACCGTACCCCTTTGTGGAGACACCACCTTCTCTTCCACGTCCTCCTGGGAATACCTACTTCTTCGAGGCCTTGGACAGCGACGACGCTATCAAGTGGTGGCCTAACAAGGTGTACGACCGATGGGAGCCGTCAGCAACCTCCAAGCAAACCTTCACTTGCAAGGACGCCATGGCGACCTTCGTTTCTTCTGCAAAAAGGTTCTTCATCACCAAGAAGAAGGAAAGCCCCAGAGAGGTTGTGTTCAGAGACCTCCCTGAAAAGTACAAGAAGGTTTTTCGAAAAAGTCGGGACAAGGAGATTGAGAGTCTTCTGAAATCCGGAGCCATCACCATCCTCAGCCTCAAGGACTCCCGTGAGTTCGCGAACAAGTTCCCGGAATACGTGCTCACTTCGAGGTACGTTGACCGATGGAAACCCCTTTTCGGTTCTTCCGGAATCCTGGGATCCTTCAGCCTATGTGGAAGGCTCCGGCAACAACATGGCAGAGCCGAAAAGCCGGTGGTGCGTTGTCGGGTGGAAGGATCCACATGTGCACGAGATCGAGCGGTCGGCGCCGACACCGTTGACCTCGTCCCTATACCTTTTCTTCCAACTTTCAGCATGCAGGAGGTGGCAAGGGCACGCAAGGGATGCAAAAACAGCCTTTTTACAGGCCAAGCCGACAACAAGGAAGCAGAAGCTGGCATGCAGGATGCCCGCCGATGAGAGCTTCCCCCAGTACCACCCCGATCAGCTGATCCTCTTGTTGACTGAAGTCTATGGATTGGTTTCTGGGCCGGCTTGGTGGAGGCGATCCCTTTTGGAGATCCTAGTGAAGGAGCTAGGGTACCGAGTTAACCCTTACGACCGCTGCATCCTGACCTTGGACGACACTGATGGCGACCCTGACAATGCCATGGTGGCCTACGGGGAGAACTACCAGAAGACAAAGGGCATCATCGTGATTGAGGTCGACGACATCCTCGAAGCTGGATCCTCTTCTCACCGCGAGAAGATGAAGTGGTTGGAAGGCAAGCTTCGCTTCGGGAAGATCGTGAACCTCATGGAGACGAAGGAGGGCACTGGCTACGCTGGTCGTCGAGTCAAGCAGCTTTCTGACTACTCCTTCACCTACTCCATGGACGACTACGTCCGTGACCGCTTGAAATTCATCAAGCTGGAGAGGAAGGTCTTCAAGCAAGACGCCGCAAGTCAAAAGTTGACTTCGGACGAAGAGCAGCAACTTCGTGGTGCCTTGGCTTCCCTTAATTGGACAGCTCGTGAGGGGAGACCAGACGCTTCAGCTGCTGCCAGTGTCTACGCTGGGTGTTTCCCGGGCCCTACAGTGGCTGATGCTGTGGCGGTAAACGCTGTCATTGGCGCACTGAAAGAGAGAAAGGTGAGCCTAAAGATCCATGCGCTGCAAGAAGAAGAAGTTCGTCATCTCCCAGTAGCTGACTCCTCCTTCGATCCGACGGGGAAGAGTAAACCACAACATGGATGCATCCAGGCGATCACCACTCCGGCCCTGAATGCTGGACACACGGCATCAGTCTCGTGGATTTCGTGGACTTCGAAAAGGTTGCGAAGAAAGGCTCGCAATACGCTCTTGTGCGAGAGCATATCCATGAGTACCGCCCTAGGTGCTATGGAAAAGCAAGTCGCACTTTGGAAGAGCATCACGCGCAGCCACTTCAAGCCTGGGTCCTTGATGGTTTCAGCGGAGGTCGACCTCGGGCTTCGCGGTACTGGCACAATCATTGCTGGCGAGGCCGAGACTTACCGAGATCCGCTTTCCATCGCCTTGACGGGCGCCAAAAGCCTCTTCGATGGTGCGAATACCGAGCAGGCCCAGGGTGAGGACGCGAGATCGTCACTTGAAATAGCCATAATTCAGGAGAGCCTATCACAGTGTCAAGGAAGGCTCAGATGGATTCCTCATAACAGGAATCCGAGCGACGGTGGAGAATGCCCACCGCGAGCCACTCCTGCAAATGATGGCTGAAAACAGCCTGCAGATCGAAGAGGAGGCCGAAATCATCGCCCGCGAGAAGCAAGGCGACCACCGAAGGAAAACCAAAAACTGGTTAAGCCTGCGGACCAACAAGATTTTGGGGGGCTGAAAGCTCCTGTTTAGAAACCTTGATTCTGCACGAGATGTGACTTAGTCCTTGCTCCGCAGGCGCCTTGAGCTCGTGTCTACGCAGGAAATAGGATCGTTGCCTTTGCTGATTGCTATCAGTAGAAGCATCAAATCCAAGTGCCGGAAATAGCCTTGGTGTCGTTCACTAGGCGCTGTACTTATGCATGTCCGCCTGGGGGACCGCCCATGCCAGGCGCTCTTCATGGAAGACCAGGCGGGGGTTCCAGGCATTAGGAACTCTTTGAGCTCCAATCCTGCAGTTCTGGCCAGAGGGTAGAAGAAAAGCGCATGTACGCGAAAAAGAGACAGTGCTGCACTCACATTCTGAATTGATGTGATCACCAGCGCGACTGCCACCTCGAAGAGCCTGCACTCGATGTCGTTTCTCATGGCCCGGAACAACTGTCGATGCCTCTGAAGCCTCGAACCAACTGCAAACAAATCCAAAAGCTGCCTCTCCAGCCTCGGGACGCAGTCCCTTCGTGGATGACTTGGACACAGGTGCAGCTGGATTTGCAGCCTGGAGCCGGCCTCACATCGCTGCGAACCTCCAAAGGTCCAAAGGGGAAGACTTCTTAAAGTTTTCTAAGCAAATCCATGGTCATTTGTGTTTGAAAGTGATGCTAAGATTGTCGAAAACCTCCCACTTGGGGGAAGCCCGGGAAGCCCCGTATTCTATTAGCAATGGTCTTGAAGCTCGTAGATGCATTTTCTACATGTTGCGAAAGCTCAAAGCAAAAGCTTGTGACAATGTATGGTTCTGATGTAGCCATACCAGCAGGGTAAAGCCTAAAGTTGAAGTAAGTACCCAGTGAGCATCGTTTCTGGATTTATTTTTCTGTCAAGTTTTGTGTAGCTACGATCACTGCGGGGCAGTTCGAAATATGCTTTGCTCTGAAGTCATTAGGCTCCGGAAGCTGAGCGTTTTTTGCTTTGAACAGGCGTGGAGCGCAGCCGATGCGGCTCCTGTCACGCGCCAGTGCGTGGCACCCTGCAGGGAGGCGCTCTCCCAAGAAAGCCCTTAGAGTTCCCAACTCAGATCAGCTCGGCTCAGGCAAGTTGGTAGCTGTTCCATTGGCCCTGCTTGCCACTTGGAAGGGCAGTGAGCCAAGTCTGAGGCGAGGGGTTGCGTGCTAAGAGAGAACCACAGCCTCGGCCTCATTTGGAAGGCTGCAGTTGCAGCCCATGCACCACCTCCATTATGATGATCGTGTCATGGACGTACGTGTGGATCACAGTCCCTGCTCACAGTCCCTGCCATTTCTCACTCTGTAGATGAGCTCTGCTGCGTCTGAGGCGATGGGCTGCCCAAGTATGCCGCTGGTTTGCGTGAGACGGGGCTCCTACCCAAAAGCGACTGGTGATCCCTGAAATGCATTCCCAAAATGGGATCTGCTTCCACCGGCCAGCTCAGTGGACCAGATCCCCAGTCCCGCGCCTCGCGCACGTGAAGCCAAAAAAGGGCCAGCTATGCTGGCCGGCAGTGAAGTGATTTGCTGAGCCTGCTTTGCACATTCAAAGCACAGGGCAGTGGACGGCCTGCGGCAAAGTTGGGGCCCTCGGCTGGCTGCAGGGTCTTCAGAAGCCACACAATCAATGGCCGAGGCCCAGCACCCCCACTTCACGTGCTCCGGACCCGTCTGCAAGAGGCCTCGTCACTTTAGCTGCAGAAGCTCAGGTGTTTGTGTGTGTTGAAGGTGCTATGGTGAGAGGGCTTGGGTCTCAGAGATGCGCACTGAGGATCCTGTACTCAGAATTTGTGCCGTAACCTCTGAGGCCAAGTGCCTCCAGGAAGAGTGGCCAGCCAGGGCCTGTGAGATTGGGGTGGGCTGACGGTGCCTTTTTTCAGACATAAGAGCAAGGCTCTTGCTTTCAGCAGTCTAAGGTCCGGCCGACACGGTGGTCCCGAAACGACGGGCTCACGACGAGGTGCTCAGAAAGCAGACGGTCCTTGTTGGAATTCAGGAGCATCTGAGACTGCATTGGGCCTTTGCCAGGTTAGCGAGATAGCACTCGGTGCTACGTGGACCTCGAGCCGTGACTTGCTTGAGAGACAAGTTCCGCTGAATCTGAGGCAGTCAAAACCCAAGCAAGTCGCCAAAAATGGCAGTTTGGCCTCACAATGTTTTTACGTTACTTCCTAGTAACACAGGCTTGTGATTTTGACAGCTGTCCTCTTAGCCCTGACATTCCAGACTGAGGTCCCCGCACAAGGAATGCTGCGTTGCGAAAAGAACGCCATGGTGCAGCTACATCTGGAGTCGTGCAGTATTGTCGTCCCAACCCACGATATCAGCATCTCAACCGCTTGACATGCAAGGCAGGCAATTTCCTGGCTGAGCATTTGGGTCGAAAGCGCAGTCCGTGTTTGAATGCTGTACTTTATATTCATTAATATATTGCTATATGTGTATTTTACTACTATTTACTATTAGCAGTTACTCAAGGCCAAGTATCACAGGCTAACTCTGCATCCGGACACAGGTTGACGATCCACTTGGGGGCTGAGGATGGTTGTGTCAGCACCCTCGGTCCAGGTAATGTCTTTACATTTTACACTGCATGTCACTTTCGTTTTGACTCCACCGGATAACCTTAAACACTGAAGCACGATGCAAGAAGGGTATAAGCTTGTGATTGAGGGCTTTTGGGATAGCATCAAATTTGCCTTTTTACCAGGCCGCATCGACAACAAAGCTGGAGCATGTCGAATTCGGGCGGCGCACTCGAATCAGCTGCGCAATTTGGCGGCCGTCTTGCTCATGTACTGCCACCGCACTTGCGACAATCGGTCAAACACAGCAGATGGTGCGCGCAATTCCTTGTGCCCCTACGTGATCCTGCCAAGCCTTGGTGCGCGCCGCCAGCATTCGCAGTTCAACATGTAATGTATTGCGCCTGGATCCCTCTGCTTACGAAAACTATACCGCGTTCACACCCGAAAGATTTACAGCGAACATCCTCCATCAAGCAAATGCGTGCTGTCAAGAAGGATCATCCAAAGGCAACACTGATGCAACGCTCACAGTCAACAGGGGACAACACAACAATGCCAATCGGTCTTGGCAATGCCGAGGTCCCCCCCCATCTTCAAGCAGCGTCTCAAAACTCAGCCTCCCACAAGATTTAGAGTGGCTGACGTGTGCAGAGCATTTTATTTCCGCGAGGTATTGTGCTTTATTTCTGCGCCTAAACGATCCTCTGTTGGCTGTGACTTTTTTCATAGGTGAGGCTGATGCGAACCTCCACACTCCACACTCCACAACACCAAGACCGCAACAGGGAAGCATTCATGATTTTTCAGCAGTGCGCTCCCCGTGGAATTGGGGGTTCAGTTTTCTGCTTTGTTTTCGAACTCATAGTCCAATGCGTCATTTGCGAAGTATCTGCCAGTTTGTCAGCAGCTTCTTAGATGCCTCAACAGATTAAGGAAATTGACAGCCGCAAGCCACTATTGCTTGTGCTATCATTCCTTCCACCAATGCTACCTACATGGACTGCTGACCAAATCAAGGGTTTGGGGCTGTTCGGTACGTAAAGGCCCCGATGAAGCAGTCCTCTTTCAAGTGTCAGAGAAGATCTGTGGCTGTCTTGTCAAAATCGAAGCCGAGCTGTTAGTTGCCTGCGTGCTCGCTCCGGGGAGAGCTTGGCATGCATCAAATCATTTGCAACGTGGTACCACTTCAGGCGAACCGGATGAACGGAATTTCGGCTTTTGGAACATGGGTGAGACGCTGGCGTTTTGAGGGTTAGCCCATTCATTGATGCAAAGTCCTCAGCATGCATCGTCCGCCGGGCCTGGATTCGAGCAGTTTTCGTGCAACAGCACGCTATCCCCCTCAGCTGTTTCATGTTTCTTTGCAGCCATACAGCCATCATCGTCAGCAACAACAGGTTGAACATGCTGCATCTCACCTTGAAGTCAATACTATTTCTGCAGCCCGAACACCAAACAGATGCTAGTTTTGTCCTGGAGCCGGATGCCGTGAGCATGGCCCAGAAGGCCACAGAATGTTTGCGCATGCAGCAAGTAAATGTAACAAGTAAAAGATGTCCTTTCTGGAGGCAAGTTGACGAGATGGCCGATCCAGAGCAGGTTGCGACCGAGATCCCAGAGGTGCAGACAGGGCCAAGAGCTCGGAACCCAAAGCACTGCAAAGCACTGGTACCTTCACTGGCTGAGCTTTCAAGCTGCCATGCGCCTGACAAGGCCATGGCTCATTGGCGCTGTCCTCATAGTGGCTGCCTGCTTAGAAACCCTGGTCTTCTTAGTGACAAGCTTTCTCGACTCAAGCCCGGAGATTGTTCGTGTGAGATTGGACCCTGAACTTAATGTGGCATGCGCGAGAAATTACCTCTGCGCCAGTTATCTTGTGCAAGGTGTTCATTCTGATGCCTTTCTCCGTGATGGGCATGCGCAAGAAGTGCTCCCATGCAACGGACATGCTTGCTGTGGGTTGGTTATGATTGCCAGGTACTCCATCTTTGGTTTTCTCAAGACAAGGTGACACATCTCTCCAGACACAGCAGGCGCTGGCTTTTTTCTTGATTCTTGCTGGATTGCCTGTCCTCGCGCGCCTTTTTGGTTGTCCGTTGTTGACTCTGCGAATCCATGCAGACATGGCGACGGCGTTGCAGAGGACCCTTTTCGTTTTGTGAGTGCGCGACCCAGCAGCTGTTGCTTGTTGGCTTTGATCCATGATGCTGGGGATGAGGAGAGACAGTGCATGGCCTACCGCTCGCAAAAGAAGCGCTTTGGAGAGCAAAACGCGGTGGTTTGACAGACTGCGTCGTGTAAAGCAAGTAAAGGGTTCAAGGTTCAAGCCTTTAGACAGGAGTCTGCCACGATCAAATTGCAGTCTGCTGTAAGAAGTATGGGGAGCATTCAGCGCAGCATTGTGTTGAAATGTGGCTGCTCGGGAAACTTGATTGTGGCTTTGACGCTGTGTTGAAGTGGGTTGCCTGGTCGAGAAAAAATGTTCCGTGGACCAAAGCTGCCCATCCCCTTTGTTGTGAGGTGGTTTGTAGAATCTATCATGGGCTTGCGTGTTGGGCTTTGGGGCATTGAAGGATTCAGCATTTATGGGTGGCCAAATGACAGGGCTAGGTAAATGTGGAGGCATATCAAAAAGTCTCAAAAACAGGGGTCCCTGTAGGCTCTGCAAGTTCAGTCCTGAGCCAGACAAGTTTAGGCTTGTTCCGCGCAAATCTTGAGGCAGACACAATGCCTTTTCCGGACGTGTAAAAAGAAGAGATTGGAGTTGTACCTGCATGACGCAGGAAGGTGCGTTAACGTCTCCATCAGATATGTGGCCTTCAGAACAGTTCAGCAGATTGATCGGATGTACCCTCTAAACACTATAACGCCGGCCAAGCCAACCCGCCCAAAGCCGAAGGGGTGTTCTTGCAATCCGGCCTTTCTAAATTTGAGATGGACTGCTGCAGCAGCAAACGCACGTTCCCTCGGCTTCCTCCGGCTCAGTATTCAGGGGCCAAAAAGGTAGGGCCTTCTGTGAGCAGGTCGCGGGCTCAGATTCAGTCTGCACGTTGGCACCTTGAAGAAGCCGGGTCAACCAGGCAAAGCCTTGCACAGAAACGATGTCGGATGACCTGCAGGCCCGCAGTCAAGATGCCAACCGGTGCTTGACATGTGGATCATCATCGCTGATGTGGCAATACATACACATACACATATGTACATTCTTCATTCTTGTATATTCTTTTTGCTTTGTGCGTACGACCGTCATTACAACCACCAATATCCCTGGCGGGGCTCTTTGGATCTTCTCTGTCCCGCAGGTCATCGGCAACGAGTATCCAGTCACTTCGCCAACCTTCGGGCCGAGCATGGCTCAGTTTTCTGGGGGACAGTAGGAACTAGAAACTTCTGAATACATGCAACATAGTAGCCTATATGATTCCTTTAGTTGACACTTTCTTTTCCATTGCTTCATTCCCTGCTGATGACAAGCAAGTAAAGAGTGGTTAGAATCAGCATGGCAAGAGCCATAGCCATGGCTGGTTTTTGCTTGTGTTCGCAACCATGGAACCATGGCCAAGCATGATAATAAGCCCAACATCATGATAGCTTGTGGCGCGTGTGTGACAGCCTCAAGAAGGCAACCGGTCTTGTCTCCCTGAACTGAAGTGTTCGAAAACGCTACAGTTAGACACAGGCGGCTTGGTAAAAGTATAACCAGAGCATTGCAGCATGCATCAACTCGCAGCTAAGGTCTGGCGACCTCTTTGCTGTATCCGCCTCGGGCGACATCTTTCGCTATTCGACGCCTGAAGGCTACGATGGTGAGTGCTGACCTTGGTCGGGCCGCGACAGATGCGCTTCCAGTGTCACTAGTTCTTCAAGCCCTTACATGGCAGATCTAGTTCAAGCTGAAGCTAGTTTTACAGGTTCCAGATGGAAGCCTGGGGAAACTCCTCGGGGCAGCCCCTGGGCATAGACTTCGACAGCCAGGCTTGATATATTCCTTGGCCTTCTCGACAAAAACCTGACGAGCTTGATCAGGGAGTGGCCTTCGTGTGCGATGCCGCGCACCAGGCCATCTTTCGGATCCTGCGCGCCCGTGGCCTCAGTGGAATCACGCCATGGCAAAGCGGCAGAGCTTTGTCTTCAACGATCCACCCCAGGTGGAAAGAGAAGGTGGCACCTTCGCGCATCAAATTGATCCTTACGTGAAAGAGTGCGCTCATTGGTCCGTCATAGCGCGTGAGCTGGCATGGTGGAACCCGTCTGAGGTACGAGCAGTCTCAGTTTCTGGGGCGCGCAGCATAGACTTTAGAAATGAGCTCCTGGGGTTCGGCTGACCACTGTTGAGGCCAAACTCGCTGTGCCTGTCGCGCCAGCGACAGACCTAGTTGGAGTTTTCTGCTTCTGCCACATAACCAACGCGCCTCAAGTGCCTGACGTGCCTGCAGCGCCTGCAACGCCTGCAACGCCTGCAACGGCTGCAACGGCTGCAGAGCCGAGGACTGGCATGCTCTACTTCACAGACAGTGGGCCAGAGACCTGAAGCGAACGCGAGAGCAAAGTGCGATGAGCCACTTCCACTTCCTCGCAGGCCTTTTGGCGAGACCTCACTGCAGAACCCACGCGGTTCTGTTTTTGCCATTAGCCCATCAACGCAGCTGCCCAGCCCCTAGATCATTACGACGTCACATAGCAAGGGCCTAAGCTGAACATGTCAGCTGGCAAGGCTGATTCCGCTGTGCCTCAACACGCTCGCGCATCCCTCTGGCGTAGCGCTATCTCCGGATGAGAAGAACATCTACGCCAAGGGCTTACACCAGAGGCGTCTTTCATCAGTGCCTCGCAGCTGTTATGAATGTGTGAGGTGGCAGAGATGGCTATGAACCGTACCTGAGCCTTAAAAGAGTTACGTTGCAGCTTGTCTGATGAGATGGTCTGAAACCCAGGCATCCTTCGGTTTACGCAACATCCGCTGGGAACTTACCTGGCTACCTTGCTCTTTCATTGGCTTTGTTCTACTTTGTGGCCCTTCCCACATCCCTATGAGACATCGAGGGCTCCACAATGCTCAACATGTCAAGAGCCCTGAAGGCCGCAAGTGTTCCACTGCAGCGTTTTCGCGCAACTTTCTGGGCGCTTCGGGCCGACGGCACTGGCGGTGCCCCCTCACACATTCCAAAATCAAACAAAACCCAAACACTTAGGCATTTCTGTGCAGGTCAGTGCTGCGGGTGACCTTTACGTCGCTCACTTTGACTTCGCTGAAAACACGGAGATGGGCCGAGTCGTATTGCGCCAAGATGCAACAGTAGTTTTCTAGAGAGGTGATATACGACTCTGTGCTTGGCTGCAGGTTGTTCTAAATCCGGAGGGCGAAGTGGCAGCCTTGGCCAGCAGTGTTTAGGGTTCGGCCGGAGCCGCCAATGACCTTGCAGGTGACTGCTGCGATAAGCGTTCCAGGGCCGGAGATTACGGGCCTCTGCATCTCTCCGGATCAGAGGCTGGAAGCACCCAACTTTTTCATTCAGCAGCGTGCGTGCCTGTGACAAGTTTCAGGCACCTCGTTGTGACGGAGCGATCCACAACTTCCCTGTACAGAACTCCACTTCCAACATGAGCATGTCGTATGGCTGGGAACCTGTAGTTTTGGAGAATACCATCCTACTGTACTACGGTATTGAGCTAGTTACTTGAAGAGCATGGTACACAAGTCTCACCTGGGCTGAAGCATCTCACCATTGGGGTGCGTGCTGAAGTTGGACATGGCTATTTGCCCCAGCGGACTGTTTTACGTGCAGCAGTAGAACCTCTTGCAGTTCAACATCCGGTGTAGTCATTCTGCACAGATTCCTGTAGAAGACTCGGTCGGAAGCCGCATGCCCCTCTGGAGAACGCGGAGCTGGCAACATGCCATGCTTGAAAAAGCTGCGCCTTTCTTTTTCACATAACGCTTTTTTGCATGCCTTGCCGCACTCATAGTAACCGCGATGATTCTCATTACTTTGAGGATCGGAGTTGTGTGGGACTCTTGTCATGTTTGCTGCTTGGCTCATGGGCTTGCGTGGACCGCTCTTCGCTTGCTGCCTTGCTTCCTTCGTAGTAGCTCGCAGTAGCTGGTGTTTACCAGAAGAATGCCAGCATGTTTCGTGCTCTTGCAGCAAAGCACCCTCATACCCAGCCAGCATTTGGAGCGATCCTGTCCCTAAATACCTCGCGGTTTCTCCACCCTCAGGGCTTGCAGGAACTTCCTTGGATGGATGTGCAGCTCTGGCCTTTGAAATGGGTGCGCAATGGTCTGAATTGCTCTTTTCTGTCGCAGTGCTTTCTGTAAGAGCCCTGCAGGTACGAGCAGTGAGGAGGCCTGCTTGATGACTTCGCATTTCTGTTGAATGATGGCTCTTTTGTAACCCTCGTATCAAGCTGATCTAATAAACTTGCTGCTGACTGCGACATCGTCGTGTTGCGGCATTACCTCCAACAGAGGCGGTGCGAGCGATGGGGGCTGGCGGTGGGGAGGAGGAGGACCTGAGGAGGACGGTAGCAAAGTACGTTAAGGGGCCTAAGTACACTCGGAAGCACACGCGGTGCACACTTGTGGTGGCGGTGGTGAAAGCGGTTGTGGTGGCAGCAGTGGCGGTGCGGCAGCGGTGCTGCAGTGGTGCAGCCGTGCAGCGGAGCAGTAAGCATTACATTACTTTAATCGCGAGAGCGCCTCGGCGATTGTGGTGAGGCGAGAGAGCATGCTAGCAGGGACATCGTACGCTGCAGCAGGGCCCGGACCCCAAATTCGTTTTTTTGGCCTGGCGCCTAGGGGGAGTCCCCTTTTGAGAGCCATGCCAGCCTGTGCGGCACCCAGCAGAACCCCTGCCCCCCCTAGAAACCGAACAAAAACAAACGTTCCGGAGTAGTGCCCACTGGGAGTGGGAGGGGGTAGGGGGAGAATTAACTTGCTTCCCTAAGCTCCGGACCTGGATGAAAAAACCCAGACCTCCAGCCTCGGTGGATTCCTTTCAAGCCTATTTAGAGAAACTCAGCACGTGCAGCCATCGTAGGAGGAGATTTCAGATGTCAAGAGAGGCTGTCGAGTGTTTTGAGCTCGCCCCGCGGCACAGGTGCAGAAGGCGCAGACAGCCTTGCGACAGATCCTCACGGCTCTGGCTGGCATGTTGCTGACTAGTGAGGAGGATTGGGTGTTGGCCAGTTGGCATTGGGTGAGAGTCTTCAGATGCGAATGACGCCCCCCACACCACAGGCTTTGCCAGCTTTGGATTCGTTCACCCTCATTCCTGATATCTATTGATGGTTAGCCCTTTTTGGCTAACAGCGGGCGGGCACGAGACCCAAAAAGGTCTCCGTCGGCTGGGGCCTCGGCCCAGCAGTGCAGGCAGTCCAAGCACTCTAAGATCACGTTGCAACCTGACTGAGGCATGTACAGCGACGCCGGCGTGCTCAGGTTCGCTGCAGCGTTTGCTTTGAGAGCTGTGCTGCCACGAACGGGGAAGGACAAGGGTGCTTGCCTCACTGCCTTCAACTAAATGGTGCTTGCGGGAGAGAATGGGAGTGAATATGGGATGAATTTTGGGGATCCTGTTTCGATAGCCACCGAATGCCATTGCTCAGGAGCAGTCCTTGCACATTCTTGTTTCAGTTATACGTAGATACATGTTTTGCCAGGCCCAAGATGAGGCCTTGATTGGATTTTGACATGCATAGATGTCCCTTAGCTCTACATGTCGTAGTCCATAGAAGTTACGAAAGCTTCCCAAGCTTTCGTCCAGCTTTGCTGATCTGTACTAAGCGGGTGTGGGGGTTAGGAAAGCCCTAAAGTGGTCAAATTTGGCCGTGTTTCGCGGGCTAGACCCTACCGAGGGAGGGTTTTGGGGAGGTCTCCGCGCGGGCCTTGAAAACAGGGGTGACGAGCGGTCTGTTTATGTGTGGTTTTGTTGTGCCGTTTCGGGTGCCGCGGAGGCCATTCAGGACCCTAGGCGGCAGCTTTTTGAAGCATGCAGGATGCCGGTCTTGGGCACGCAGAGGCTGTTTTAGCCGTTTCGGTTCAAAGGCGGGGTGTGTGCAGTGCTGGAAGTTCCCGCTTGACCGGGGTTCGCGCCTCGGTGGCTGACGTCCAGCCAAGGAAAGGGTGTTTGAGTGCACGTGGTTCCAAGGGTTTTGTTCCTGTGCACGTATGTGAGAGCTCACTTGCAGCTATCTCGGCCTCAACGCGCAGGGTATTGTGTTCGTTAGCTCACCTGGTCGCCATGGCACCGAAGTTCTCCGACAAACGTCGTGCTGAGCTGCAGGCTAGTTCTCCGAAGACGCCGTCTCCTAGGCTGGCTCGCGTGGGCAAGGCGGAGCTGACGGCGGAGCTTTGGTTGGTCGCCTACAGTCAGAATTCGCCTCAGGTGATTTCTCCGAGACTTCGAGCTCGGCGCTAGTCAAGGACACATTTGATCAATACCTTCGCTCAAGCAGTGGGACTGATGGGACCGGCCTACCTCGACCGAGGACCTGAAGTCGTTCGGCCTGAAGCTCGTGTCCAGCCCCTGGGCCAACCTACCACAAGATCTTGTACGCTGATGCTTGACTCACAAACGCCTTCTGGCTGTATCATGGATACCTGGACCACCTGGTTCGCGCCCAGGCGTGTGCCAAACGACTCAGTGGATTAAAGCTTCTTGTTCAAACAGCACTGCTGTCAACCTCGCGGAGATCCGCTCGTCTCTGAGTGCGGACACGGCGCTGAAGGTGGAGTTCACAGATGCCGGCGAGGATATGCCCCATGCCGCCTTTCTCCGAGCTCCGACGTGCACGGTGGCGCACGTCTCATCTTGCAACACTTCGCTGCTGCCGACCTCGCGTCGCCGAAAGCCTGGTGGAAGCCTGATGGGAGGGCTGCGCTGGCATGAAAGGCTGTCCCTCAACCCTAATGCTTCTTCCGTGGAGTGGCTTCTTGGATGCTCGTCAGGACCTACCCATCCTGGTTTGCCTGCCGCCACATTTCACTACGTGGGATGACACCGTCTCCGCGCGTAAGCGGTTGCCGAAGACAGTGACGGAACCATCTCCGCCTCCTTCAGAGGCTCAGGTCGTGGAACGTCGTGGCCCAGTGACTCCGTCGACTCTGCGAGTAGCTCAAAACCCCATTGACCGATATCATGGCAGAAAATCCTCGAACCTTGGATCTTCGAGAGCCCCAGATACTGCGACATTACCCCGGTGATGCAGCAGGGTTCTTTTGGCACCGCCGGTCTTGCTCGAGAAGACTGGTCCTGGTGTGTGGGTGGCAGTGACGCCGGATGGAGACATAGAAAGGATCGACCTCAACGTGGTCAAGCATATTCCCTTGGAGAGGCGCGCAGAGTTTCCTGCTCCGCAAGCTCCATTTGTGTATGCCTTTGATCCGATTCCCCGGGCCGACCTGGGCAGTTTTCCCCGCGCAGTCCTGGAGTTTCTCAGAGCAGTTCGCGAGGGCGCCAGCGACCTCGCCACCTACCACTTGAATTGGTCTCAATCCTCAGGAGTCTCAAATTTTGGTGCAGCTGTTCATGAGGATAGAGTCCTTTGCGACATTCTTCGTGGGGGCATCTCCATCGATCAGGTTGATCTGTCGAACTTGTTGTGCGCTGAATTGGTTGTACGTCGCCTGATTCAGATCGAAATGGCAGCCAACTCCCCTGACTACTCAGGACTGGATTTGGTGATGGAACAACCAGTTGGCGCAGCGGGTCCAGCCGTCACAATGGACTTCACGAATTGGATCTCGGGCAAGCTCAAGGAGAGGGCCAATGTTCAGAAGCAAGCTCGGCTTTATCGTGAAGAGTTTGGGGGTCGACGTGACCGCGGCAACTACGGCAAAAATGATTCAGATGACAGAGCCCGAGGATGAGGCAGAGGACGTGGTAGACAAGGCAAAACCGGTGCCGGCGACTCTTCGGGGGCCGGCCCATCCACATGACTGATGAACAACTCTTCCAGACGTGTCTTGGTCAGTCTGGCGGGACAGCCTTGAGCACAGACGGCATGGTTTTCCCTTCCCTATTGGCCCTGGGGTCCTTCAGGGTCTGCCCTCATGCGAGAATAGGACAGTGAATGCGCTGAACCGTCTTGCGGGCTACAAATTCGAAAATCCTCTTCCGCAGCACGCTCATCGTCCGCCTACCGCTGTGCAAGTTTCCTACGTGCGCGGCGCAATTGAAGAGGCGGGTCCGATTCCGGAGGGTATGGATGCAGAGGGATCTCTTCGAGATCTGATGAGCTCAATTAACCTCTTGATGAGGAGCCTGGCCACCTTGCAAGCTATGACCCGGAGAAGTGAAAAATACTTCGTTCCAGAATTCAACCTCAGGCGCTCGGTGAACTTCTGCCGTGTCATGTGCTACCACTTTACCGCAGACGGCGTGCGCGCATCGAGCGGTCACCCGAGGAGTTTGAAGCCTTTAAACGTGAGAATCCTGACCTTTGTCCACGGCAGCCTCACTGGGATCCGACGCTTCGAAATGATGCGGCGACTCGGTTGGACTTCTTCAAGCGACTGTTCAAGGCTGGAGTTTTATCTTTTCGAAAACGAATTCGCAGCAAAGTGGGCATCCTCTTCGTGAGGAAGAAGGATCCATCGGCTAT